ATTTAATCATCCAAAACGTTATGGAACACATTAATTAACTGAAAAATGTTGCAAAGTACGCCTTTAATCTGTACTGAATTCTATATTTTTTTTTTCTCAATCCTAGTTAAGCAGAGCTGGATTTTATTACAGCTTCTTTAGCTCAAGTAAAAAAATGTAATTCTGCCTTGGTGAGCAGAGACAAGTATAATTCTCAGTCTTTAAGGATAACGATTTTAAAATTAGCCGCTTTCAACAGGCTAAAGGGTAAAAGAACATTCTGCGTTTATATCTGATTAACTCTAATATCAGCATTCATTCATTCCTGCTGTAAATCTGTTAAAGTATCATTGCCTCTGCCTGAGGGCTTATGATGAGATTCGTTACAAAGTGCCAGTTTTTACATTTTGGGAGGAAGCGACTACATGGAAATAAGCCTGTAAAGCATTTCATTGAGTCAAGAGTATTATTTTCCTCCCTCAAAGCTAATAAAAGCCGCTGGCAGCGATTGTAATGATAAACCGGAGTTTACGCTTCCATTTCCTTGATCTGACTTGCCTCTCCTTGGATCTACTGAGGGCCACATTTGTTTTTTTTTATTGTGACTCACTGCTCTAACACAGAGGAGTAGAAGCCAGAGCCGACTGCAACGCACGTAATTATGATTTCCCTCGCAGACACAGCAACTATCCTGCCTTTCATCTGTTTTTTAAAGGTGTTTGAGCACCCTAACTTCTTTTCATCCCTGATGCCTCGACACCCGATGGAACAACAGCTGAGTCAACGCCTGCTCAGAGTTATCCCAAACACAACACAACCCCACCTCCCTGCAGCAAGGAAACTAAAATCCTCCACTGTGTCTCTGACTGGCCTGATCCTGACAGGCGAGCTGAGATGAAGGCTGGTATTGTTTAGACGCCCCGACAATAGCTCTTTGAATCGCCCAGATGTGTGAACCGCATTCGGATCAGTCTGCATCTCATTTGTTGGCTTTTCAGACGATCCTTCAGCTACAAGTTTTTGATGTTTTCCTTGGTAAAAGTTGTCTTTTATCGAGCCAGGATTTCATGTTTACTGTAATCACAGAGAAGAAAGGTGAGCACATGTTTAGTTCTTGTCCCACCACAGCACCACTACGATGATTAAAATGCTTACTGATTGCCATCTCTGATCCATGCTGAAAATGTCTATTAACAGGCAGACGAAGAACAGATGTAACTCTCCAAACTGACAGCAGCAGAGATGCACACTTGACTCCATTTAAGGAAACAAAACAGTGACATATGGACCAATGAAATCTACATCTGCTGAAGGCTTTTTAACAATTTCTACTTGTCTCTCTGCAGCTTTCGGGACTAAATTTACTCCAGTCTATCTGGTGGTGTTTAACTGGCGCTAGCTTTCATCTTTTCTCACAATACCTGATTGACTGAGGTCAAATATAACCCCTTAGCACCCTGCTTTCAATTACAGTTACAAAGAAGTGGTTTGCAAAAGTTCCTAATTTTTCCCCCCTTTTTTATATTTTGTCAAGGTACGGCAATAAACCTTAATATTGCATTTGGATTTCACATTACAGACTACCAAAAAGCAGTACTTATTTATTTCTTGTTTTTTATACAATATCCCTTAAACAGCTCCCCTTTGTAAAGCACGGTGGTGGCATTACTGGGATGTTTTTCAGCAGCAGAAACATGGGGAATGTTTAAACACATGGCAGTCCCAGAAGAAATCCTGCTAGAAATTGAACAACACTTGAAACTCAGACTGAAATTCACCTTTAATGTGAACAAAGATCAAAGATCAGAGCTTTCAGATCAGAGAACCTGAAAACTCTCAACATCATCAGCCAATCAGAGTCTGTGTTTTTTTTGTTTTTTTTTATTAAAGTTCACCTTTTAGAGCTGTTGTTACTGTAGTCGTTTGCAGAGCTGTAAGGGTCAGCACATCTAAAGACCTGTTTTCTTTCTTCATTTTAAAATAATTAAGTTCAGTCAGAGTTAATTAACTTTATGAGAGCTTTATGATTTGCTTTAAAGCTCTTTTCTTATCAGCAATGACCACTTTATCAAACACTGCTTGAGAAAAGTACGCACACAATGATGCCATCAGTTCCATCCCTCACTTCAACCAGGAGAGCCTTTGCTGAAAGGATCCTGCATTAAACTTTGACACAACTTCATCCCTAACCTACCGGTGTCAATAAATCCACACCATACATTTGATTTTAGTCACAGCAAAACATGTCTTTTTCCTTTAATTTTGAACTTAAAAGTAAAGTTTTTCCACTTCTGGCCATTTCTACCCACCCTGCTTTCCCAAAAATCACAATTAGACATATAATTAATACTTTAGCATGTAGGCTACTTGAGTTTGAGATCACAAAGCTCCTGTTTGTCATCAAAACATGATGAATTTATGTGATGAAAACAACTCAACAGCTCAATGCGTTCACTGATGACACACTAAGGAAATTATCCTGGCAGCAGAAGAAACTGTAATTATTCATTTATCCCCAGCTGTCCTCATAGTGTATGTTTACTACAGATTCTCATCACTAGACGACTTGTAGAATGCTTGTCAGCCACCTCATAACGTATCCCAGGCATACTTTCCCTCCCCTCAGGTATGACATCTGTACATCATCAAAGGCTGCGGGTGCACATGTGTAAAGGTATGTGGAAATGTCTGGATGTCAGGTGAGCTTTCATTCCAAAGCAACTATACGACCCTAAAAGTGTAACAGTAGAAATTACAGGGGTTACACTTAGGCGGCTCATCGCATCCCTTTGCTTTATGTCTTTATGATCAGACGCCTCGGGGAGGTGGGACGGGATGGGGGGGTGTAAGTGCTCCTGTGTGTCTGTCATTTCTTGCCCTTTGCTTGGATCCTTTACACTTTGGCATGCACAAATCACTCAGCTGTAAATGCTAAAGGGTTTTAGCTGGGCCCTTTGCTCCTTCTCCCTCTTGATGAGACAAAAGAGCCATTCAAGGGCCCTGCAAAGCACTGCGAAATGATTTTGGGCAGCGCTCTGAAGTGGGCATTCCTGGCTCATAATTCCACAGTTTCAGGAGGCTGTGATGGCAAACGGGCCCCAGCTTGTGCATCCTGATGACTGACAGGAAAAACATTGCGGCGCGCTGTCTCTAATGAAACTTGAAGATGCCTCCTTGTGTTTGTCTCCGCTTCTCTTGGGGTTACTAAGAGTGCTGTCATAAATCAAGCCATGAAAGACCGACTAGAGCTGTCTCTCTTCATGTGCCAGGTCAACCTGCTCCTATAATAACACATGGAGAAGTTCAAAGGACGAAAGATAAATAGTTGAAGGAGGTGTACATAAATCTGTGCCAAGAAGGTGGAGCTTTCTAAAACAATTTGAGTCCACTTTTGAAACCTGTTAGTCATCAAGAGAGTCAAATATTTCTGAACTTGGAATTAAAATGCATCCATTACAAGAATAACAGTCATTGTTATTGCAGTTGAAGTTCTTGTCAAAGCAGTTTTCTATTGTTTAAAGAAACTTCAAATAAGAAATATGAAGGACTGTTATTGGTTTATGGGTATCTATAACATATGGCAGAACCAGAGCGCCTGTTGCTCCCCTGTAAAGCACATAATAACCCTCACCTGCAGTGTTAACAGGAAGCAATTACAGATATGAGCAAGTTAATGCAGTCTCCAGCCAGGTCTTTAATTGGATACACCCACTAAAGTTACACAGTGCAGCTAAAGTCTATAACTTAGCTGCACAGCAGGCTCTACACAGTCAGGACAATGTGTCTGAATATAAGAGCTAAAGTAGCCTTTCCCCCCCTCCCTCTCTGAAAGCCCAGCCTGAACCAAAGCAGCAAACACAGATGTTTGTCATCTACTCAGACAAAGAATTTCAAACTTTCCCTCCTCTTCCTCTCAAGTTCAGTGCATCCCCCCCAATCAGCCCTTCTCTGGCCCCTGCTTCTCCAAGCAAAGATAGCATCTTACCCTGTATGGATAAATAAAACAGGCAGCAGGTGACTTCAATCTGCAGCCTTTCAACGGTTTCTTGGTAACGGATAAAATTCCTGGATTCAGAGCTCGCTGGTCATGTTGCTCACCTGTACTCCGGTGGGTCTGGCAGTGAGGCAGCGAGGGGCGTGTGCTGCTCTTTTCTTCTCCAAAAACTGCACACACCTCCCCCTTTTTACCTCTCTCTCTCCCTGTATGTGGCGCTCTCTCTCCCTCACTTGAAGCAGACGAAAGATAGGGGTTGGGAGGGGTGGGGGGGTCAGCTGGAACACAGAAGACTCTTTGTCTGGGACTTTTTCATATGGTTTCCTTCAAGTCTGCATACTGAACACATTATGGTATAATATATTTTCATATTCAACAGAGGGATGGTGAGGGGCCAGTCAGGGCCCCTGTGCCCCCACCCTTTCTTTTCCTTTCTTGACCGTTTTCCAGCCATGCACGCTGGGCAGAAAAGTCCGGACACTTGTGGAAAGACCACATTTCAGTTAAACCCACAACATGAATTGGTTCAATCCTTTCATCATTTCCAAGAACCTCAAATTACAGAAAATGATTTCCTCACATGGAACATCAAAAAGAAAGACTTTAAGTAACCTTAAACGTAAGTTACCTTCGCTGCTCATCTTTTGCAACTTCTTTTGGCCTCTCCATTTTCCAGAGATGAATAAGAAATGTTTACACTTTATTGGAGTAATGTTGACATTCAATGAAGTAAGTTCAAACTTTCTGAATACCAAAAATAAGTTTAAAAACTTTCTGTTTTTCTGATTATCAAAGCAGAGCACATGACGGCACAGTGAGCACAGCAGGTCAGAATCATACATCAAAATCTCAGTGTGCACCAAAAGAGGCATGCCTCCTGTTTATCACACATGAGCTCCCCTGATGATACGCTTTTCACATGGAAAGCATTGCCAACAACTTTTCATTCCATTTTATGTCCAATAAGAAGCATGCAGGGGGTGCAGCTCTTTGAGACATTAGTCTGCAGATAATTTAATGTTGACCTGGGTGAACAACCTTCAACAAATCTGAAATAAAGTGCAAGTATTTAGAATTAGAAAATAATTCAACTTCTATTGTAATCACATTGTCACAAGCACAAAGCAACAAAATGATTTGTCTGCATTTAACCCATCCCTTTGGGGAGCAGTGGGCTGCCATTTGCGGTACCTTAGGAGCAGTGTGGGGGGTTAAGGGTCTTGCTGAGGAAATCAACTCTAATGCTGCATTTCAGGTTTTTGAAAGATGAAACTTGAGTCCATCCCTTCTGTTTAAGGTTGATTTTTCTCTCGTAATGTAAATGGCTAACTTCACACCCCTTTTCAAACTACCTGTCTTCCTTGTCCAAAATGTGAACATTCTGGTCCTCAAAGTGTCCTTTGCTCTCTCTGCTTTTCCTCAGAGTAGCTTTGCCTCCTCTGTTCCTGTTTGGCTGTGACGCCATCATGGAGAGAAACATCAGCTGTTTTCCAGTGTGGTCCTGTTTCTCTGACTGTGACTAACTGGATGTGCTCTCTTCGTCCTCTGGCATGGGAGCTGGCTTGGAGCTCGTCTGCCTGGCTGTGTGTTTCCTGGACGGGGCCGCCTTTTGCAGCTGCTTTTTGTATCTCTGCTTCTTTCTCCTTGAACCCCAGTCGGCCTCGGCAGATGGCCGCTCACACTGAGCCTGGTTCTGCTGGAGGTTTCCTTCTGGTAAAAGGGAGTTTTTCCTCTCCACTGTCGCTACAAGCATGCTTAGTGTGAGGGATTGTATTTGAGTCAATGAGTCAATGCAATCAACTTGTTTTCCTTAGATAGAAAACTTTGTATCAATTTGATTGTATGATCTGGTTGAACTGTAAAGTGCCTTGAGATGACATGTGTTGTGAATTTAGCGCTATATAAATAAACTGAATTGAATTGAATTTGTCCTGTAGGTGGAAGGCAGAGTCTTGTCCGAAGGAGGTAGCTCACCTGTGTTGAGCCACTAGTCTGTGGAAAGGTTGTTTGGTTTCACCAATATAGAGATCAGAGTATTCCTCATTACACTAACTGCATACAACACTCCCTTCATCTGGGAGGTTATGTCCTTACGATGCCCTAGCCGCTGTCTAAGGGTCTTCCTTGGTTTGAAATGTACTGGGATTTTGTGTTCGGAGAAAATCCTCTTGAGTTATTCAGAGACTTCAGCAACATATCTTTTCACCGTTATGTCCTGTTGCGTTTCTTTTGGTTTTTCTTGCTGATTTGACAAATGCCCAGTTTGGGTATCCACAGGTTGGAAGAGCATCTCTGATGTGTTTCTGTTCTTTGCTATCCCTTCTGTTTAAGTAGGGACGTGCTCGGGCCGGTGTTGTAAGGTTCTAACGACTGAAGGTTTGTGTTCCAGTGGGAGTCAAAAAGAAGATATTGGTCTGTGTGAGTGGCTTTTCTATACACTTCAATGTTGAGGTTTCCATCTCCTTACATGCTCACCAAACAGCCCAGATGTTTGTAATGACAAACGTAGCTTGTTGTCGTTGGCATCCTCTCTGGTGAACTTGGTGTTGTGGTCAAAGGAGTTGATGTGTCTTGTGAAAGCTTCCACTTCTTTTAGCTTTTAGATTTTGACGAATGCATCATCCACATATCTAAACCAGTGGTGTTCCTCTTAAGGTGCCCAAAGCTCTTTTCCATCTCTTCCATGTAAAGATTGGCTACAATTGGTGACACTGGAGATCCTGTGGCACAACCTTGCCTCTATCTGTAAAAGTGATCCTTGAACTTGAAAAAGGTTTTGGAAAGACAAAGGTCCAGTAGGGTACAGATCTGGTCCAGATTGAAATTAGTCTTGTTGTTTAGGTCACTGTCTTGTTGAAGATGTTTCCTGACTGTTTCCACTGCCTGTGATATAGTGAAAATAAGCACAGGAAAATAAAAGCAAACAAAAAGGGGAAAGGGGGTTTTAAGGGTCCATTCAAGAGTCTCTGAAGTATTTTGAAGTTTTAAGGCTTAATGCATTCAAGTGTCCTTTAAAAGAGCAGCAGATTAATGTGTATAACTCTGATGCAGAGATATTAAATACAATCAAAACAGCATTCACCAGATTTTAAAGTGGAAAATTACTCAAAAATGCATTAAACTACGGTGATGCTGGAAAGAATGGGTCAATTCAGCGGGTACCAGGCAATCTGGGGCAGGCCAGCCTGAACAAAACAAGGTTTGCTCTCATTTGCTTTAGCAGGCTGGTTTACTAATCAATGTGTTCAACTTGGTTTAAAACACAGGAAAAACAAGACACTAAGTTCAGCTCTTTTAAATCGTAGGCAATCATACGCGAAGAGAGCTCTCAACGCAAAGCATTCTGGGATATATCTGCCTCTTCTGAGGCCTTTCTTTGCTTCTAATACACTTCGTAGACACTTTTTTTCTTATGACCCTCAGCCATTTTCAAAGAACTGTGGTGAGAAAGGTGAGCTTCAATGACTGTCTGAAACCGTAGCTCACCACAGATATACACCTGAAAGTGCGAATGCACAGAAAAAGATAGCTAATGGGACAAACACATAGGATCGCCTTATGCAAACATATCACCAGAATGATTGACAATTAGGAAGAGCACTTATTTAGATGATCCACCCAGAAATAAAAGAAGAGACAAAGCTGGCAACCAACTACAAATAGCAGAATTTGCAGCAATCACTTCTTAAAATGTTGTAGAGATGTTTTAAATTTAGATAGATGTGGAAATTATGCTAGTCAAAAACAAGAGGAGAGTTTCATCTTTTAAGAGGCATGCAGGGTTTCCCTCAGTATATTATCACCATGGCAATGTACCGCTATTTTAAATTCCCATTTAAAATTTGTCATGGTTTTTGGTTATGTTGTGCTTTACTTTGCTCCATGTTTCCTAGTTTTGTTGGTTTAATTCCTATTTTGTTGTAGTTTCTAGATTTATGTTAGTTCTCAGGTTTTTCTGTTGTTTTTCTCTGTTGCCCTCTTGTATGTGTTCCTTTCCCCATTGTCTCCTCTCACACCTGCTCCTTGTCAGCTCGTTAGCCCTGCCTT